TGTTTGTTTCAAAAAACAACTGCAACAAACATTAAGATTACTGATTTTAGATCAAATTTGATTAAATGTCTGACATTCAAACCCAATATAAATCAAGAAATAACAAACAAACATGTACTCACAACTGCCTCAAGAAACAGATGTGTCCAATGTTACTTTAATATTGCTCAAGAAAAAGGAAGAAAGTATTCTCAAAGTCATTGTAAAAAAGTCACTACAAAATGTTTTAGTTGCAATAAACAATTATGTGTTCCTTGTTTTTTTTATTATACAAATGGACTGAATAATATACCTAGACTATTAAATCATTATATTATTATTATTCTTATATTATGCTTTTTTTTTTTTTTATGAAACAAGACTGTTTACTTAACTCACAAAGAATTAATATTATTTGTTCTAAATTTATATTGTTATTGTGTTATGTAATATATTAAAATTTTTTTTTTTTTTTTATTACACATATAGACTGATTATTGTATATTGACTGTCAAATCATTATATTATTATTATTATTATTATTATGTTATGATGCTTTTTTAATGAAACAAGACTGTTTACTTAACTAACAAAGAATTAATATTATTTGTTCTAAATTTATATTGTTATTATTATGTTATGTAATATATTATAATTTTTTAAGAAACAAGAGTATTCACTAATTAATTTATAAGAGATATTTATTATTATTTTTAATTTTTATATTTTTATTAAATTTTGCCAATTTTATTATGAAATATGATTATCAATTACTTAACAAATAAAGTGAATTTGTAAAATGTATTTTGATTTTATTGTATGTGTAACTTGTCTCAGTGAGGGATCATTAAAATCTTGCCAAAAAGTTTGTGACACACCTGTGGGTCACACCAAAAAATAGATAAATTCTATATTAGAAGACTATAAACTATATAATATCTATTATGCAAAAAATTATTAAAAAATTATTTAATAAGTAATGACATAAACAGAATTAACAAAATCATTAATTATCTCAAAAATAGTTTGGCAAACGTCATGTGACCCACATAAGGGTCTCATGGCAGTCAACCTGTTAAAATATGTAATATTAATGTTAAAATTCTGAAAATAGCGCCGACAGTTGCACTATCACCACCACCACCACCCACCGCTTCACAGGCGTATACCTCGCTTACAGCACACTTCGCCGTTACGTCCACCGATAACGCCGCCGCCGCCACTGTGATGACAGACGATTTTTATCGCGATCTGGCGAACAACCCCGACTTGCTCCCAGACAAAGTCAAAATTAAGATATATTATTATTATTATTATTCGCAAGACATTTTTATATATATAATGAATCTTACATTACTCGATCGGATTCGATCAAAATAAAATGCTTCATATTTTTTTCGAGTTTTAAATTAATTGCATGGAATCTTATTAATTAATTATTAATTATTTTACTGACGCTGGAACGTGAGAACGCTGTCGAAAAACAGACTACAACAACCCAATACGGTCCGTGTATTATAGCGGTGATGAAGGTTACCAAGGACGACCATTTGGTCGAGGTCTTTTTACCGAAAGCCATTAAAATTTCCGATGTTGAAATAGAAGGTTTCAACCTGGCTTCGGATAAAAATCTTATTTTTATATTTCTGAGGTGGTTAGGCCAAAAATTCAGATATAGGTTTAAATAAAAATTTATATGTTTTTATCGTTTTTTACAATAAAGAAAAATATTATTTTATAAGACGTAAAAACACTATTTATTTATTTTTATTAATATTATCACTCTTAATCACTTTTATCTGGTATTAGAATTTTCTAAAATAAAAGTTGTACGTAAATGTACTGTGCTTGGGTCAGTTCTTCTCATTGATAAGAGATAAAAATGATGAGAAAGCATTTTATAATGATACACCAACTGTTCAGAATCAAAATTTTTACTGCCAGGAATTTAACGCCAAAGAATTTGGCAATCCTGTGTTTATGTATTTTATGTATTTAACGGTTTTACTGATTACATTTTAAAGTTATAAATCATTACCACTTCGGTTATTGTTTAAGATTATTTCATGAGAAAACTTTCAGCGATTTTATTTAATAATCATCTAAGCCTTTATAAAATTTCTTGTTACTTAGTATTGCCTACAGATCTAAAAATTATGAACATGGGAGAACATATCGCTATTAGAAACCATTTGATGGACCACAACTATATTTTGCCTGATGGGTTTGAAAATAATGTTGAGGAAGTAGGTGTATCATCGGATTAAGATGTCGAAGTGATTGCAGTGCCAGAAATATATCAAATCATTCCTGGTGTTCAAAATCGAACAAGTATTTATGTGGATAATTTTGGACTCAAGTATTATAAACGTTATGCACGTGGTAATCGTGTATTTTTCACATGGGGAGACAAAAATAATGTTAATTAATGAATGCTTGTGCATATTGTTATAATAGTAACGAACTTGAACATGATGTCACCGCACGTCCCGTCCGTAAACAGTCCGGGTATTTTCTTACGCTCCGCCATGTACCACGAGTGATCGTGTGGCAGATTCGATGTGTCCATGTGAAGCAGCAAGTCGGGGTTGTTCACCAGATCGCGATAAAAATCGTCCGTCATCACGCTTTAGACGAGTGAATCTGAAACACGTTCGGGAAAATATAAAAACTATATGATGATAATAATAATAATAATAATAATAATTTACTGGTATCCGTGTACAGCAGCTGTATGTTTTCTCGATAATGTCGTTTCATGACGTTATAATGATAGTCGTACATCAGCGTCTTGCTTATATCGAACACGGCGAAGCCGATGTTAATCGGCTTACAGAAGTCGATAATTTTATTATGCAAAGACACCGCTGCAAGATTTTCGTTATAAGTGGTGCAATACTTAAACGTTGGACAGTTAACGAGTTTCATGAATCGACGCTCGCACGACAAGAGCTCCATTTTCATGCGTTTGCGCATCGATTCCATTGTTTTTCCTGAAAAACAGCGGAATAAATATATATACACAACATTATAATAATTATTATTATGGTGATTAGTTGTTATTGTTGTTACCGAACACCGCGTTATTCATCAGTTTGAAAAAATCTCGTTCAAACCCGTAGAAATACAATCTAGTCGGTACAATTGTTACCGTTTTTCGCGTAATACCATAGTAATAGACGAGTCTATTTCAACGAAACCGCACTTCGCGTTCACCGATGCCATAAGATTTTTTTTACGTTTAACGCTAACCACCGAATTATCATTAGAACGTTCACGCGGTGCGGGTACGGTGATAGCGATGCCGTTGGCGAGGGGTGCTGATAACGAGGTATACGTTGGTGAAGCGGTGGGTGGTGGTGGTGATAGTGCAACTGTCGCGCTATTTTCAGAATTTTAACATTAATATTACACGTATGGAAATTTCGGAGGTAAATCTACAATAAACGGGGGTGTTAAGAGTGAATTGTCAAATTAGTAGTTTTTCCCACTCATGATAACATTTTATGGAAAGTTATAACGAGTGTTGATCGTTTGACAATTGCTTTGAATTGTCGTGACTATAATTAAACTTAAATTAAGAAACGATAGTTTGTTATTTTGAAACTTTTGTGTGTTGAAATAATGTGTATTTTATAAGTCTATCTCTAATAATGTAAATTGTCACTGTTCGATTACTTTGTGTATTTTGAATTGCCCCCGGTCTTGAACCTGGGTAAGAAAGTGACCGCGCTCCGTCACCCCCGAAGTTGGTGACACTGCATCGCCTTCGCCCTTGTCCGGTCGACGACGCATGCACCGCCGGTGCAACTCGTTTGTGCACAATTTAAATTTTTTACCTAAATATCGATGACTCGTTTGCGCACAACAAAATCAGTCGTTTACCTGTAAACGGTCGACTCGTTTGCGCACAACATAATCACTAAGTAACATTTATTTTATATTTTTAAATTTGAACTTACCTAAAGTAATTGAATTATCGGTACAAATTACCAGCATATCAATATCAATATATAATGATTTAAAATAATCGTCGTGTATTACTAAAGCGTTATACTTTTAAACAGTCGTTCGCCAGAAAGCTGTACTATAACTACTAACTGTATTGACTATGGATATCGAAATTTGTGATGTTTTTGAAACGCGTCGAGAAAAAAAATGTTTAAACATAGAAAGTTATAAATTTAGAGAATTCCGAACTTTAAAATCTGGCGATAAACATTTTAGGTGTACAAATAAAAATTGTTCCGTAAGTCATATAAAATTTTAAAAATGACAAACACGCATACCCATGACGAGTACGACGACCGAACAATTCATCGAGAAGTAGTAAGAAGCAAATCGAAACGTAGAGCTGAAGAGGATTTACATATTACACCAAATAAACTAATACGCCGGGAATTGAAAAACAATGATAACTTCGAACATCTTCAATATAGCGATATGAAATTAATTCGAAGATCCATGTATGAAAAACGGAAAAAATCCTTTCCAAACATACCGAGATCTTTAGAAGATGCTAAAAAACAATTAGTTGATGATCAGCATAATCTTACTTACAAAGGTAATAAATTTTCTTTCGTTAGTGATGATGAAAATATATTTATATTTACATGTAAACAAAATTTAGAATTGCTACAAAGTGCAGAACACGTTTTAGGGGATGGGACATTTGCTCCGAAATATTTTGTTCAACTTTATACTGTTCACGTATTTAAAAACAATTTTTATGTTCCTGTGGCGTTTTGTTTTTTAAGTAACAAACATACTGATACTTACATCAATATGTGGAAAACATTACAAAATATATGTATTCAAATTACTGGTAATATAATAAATTTAAGCTATTTTCATGTCAACTTTGAAAAATCTGTGCATAATGCAGTATTGCAAATTTTCCCTTACTGCAAAATTACGTGTTGTAACTTTCATTTAGGGCAAAATTGGTTTAGACATATTCAACAACATAAATTATTATCGAGCGAGTACTTAAACAACGACTCAGAAGTTGACAAATGGATGAAATGTTTTTTTGGAATAAGTTATTTACTTCCTGACGAAGTTTCTGATGGATTTTGTGATCTTATGTCGATAGCACCAAGTACTACGTCTAGTAATATTTCTATATTTTTTGATTATATTTTAGAAAATTACATTGCATCGGACAGCAATTTTCCTCCAACATTATGGGCTTGTAAACCTACTAATAAACCTAAGACTACTAATGGTGCAGAAAGTTATCACAAACAATATAACAGTCAGTTTTACACTACTCATCCGCACATACATCAAGTAATCGACGTCATTATTGAAATTCAAAGTGACACTGATTTAAAAATTAATTCGATAAACAATAAAATCATAAATTTCAAAAGAAAAGAGATAATCAATAAGGAGATACAATCGGAAAACATTTGGAATGAATATAAAAATAATATTATTAATCGTTTAACTTATACAAAGAAAATCAGACTTAAATGCCACCATTCTAAATTAGTATAATTTTATAACTAATAGACTACTATTATTACTTATTAAACCTACAATGCATGTTTTTTAAAATATTTTAATTTTTGTAATATTAAATTAATAATTGACAATATTGTTTACGCGTATAATCATTGACGTTATTATTACTTTTATCTGTATTATATTGTTGTATATATATCTTATTCTCGCCGATATCTGGTCGCTCGATGTTAAATTATACAATAAATACTTAGAAATGCAAAATAGTTAAATCTTAATTTATATATATTTTTTTTTTTTATATATACAATATGCATATATATTATTATTTTATACAGTCTATTAATTAATTAAAATTAAGCAAAAGAAAGGAAATATGCTCAAACGAGTTGTACCTTTATTATTTAAACCTAAAGTATGTGTGCGCAAACGATTTGTGATTTTGTGCGCAATCGTGTCGTAAAAAAGGTAAATGTGCGCAAACGAGTCGCACCCGTGCACCGCCGCTAACGGTCGTTTGATGGCGGTCTGCTCCTTTTTTTTGAAGCATTACACGAAGATCGACGTGCTTCTCTTTTCGTTCCTGTGTCCATACATTCTAACATACTCTCGTGTGTGGTCGCCATTACGGGCAACCACGTGTTCAGATCCGGATTTACACTAGTTGCTCAGCCGTCGCCATCCATTGCCAGCTCCGGCCTTCAGAGCGGTGTTCCCCGTCATCCCACCATATATATATATATATATATATATTCGATTGTATATGTGTTCGCATAAATATCCATTATATATTATTGCTCAAAAATATTATTTGTACACATTGTTAATGTTATATATACTTAGTATTGTTATTATTATCATGGGCGCCCGCAAGGGGAGGCCAAAGGGGCCATTGCCCCTACTGGGAATTTTTGTTTCAAAACTATTGTTAATTTAATACCACACATATAAATTATAACATAATTTTATTGAGATCCATTGATGAAGTTTAGTAAAATTTATTATATTTTTAGATATTCAAAAATGTATAATCTTGAACGTATTTATTTGTTTACAATATTTACACGTAACTGCATATCGCTTAAGACTATAAATTCTTCCGAGTACCGATTTCTATGGTATTTGATTTTGTTCTCATATATTTTTAGATACACGTTGTGACCCTTAGAATTTTAATCTTGCGCCGGGTGGGATTTTATCCTGCGGGCGCGCTTGATTATTATTCTTCTCACGACGGTCCGGAGGACCCAGCGTCCGACATACGCCTGAGTAAGGTCCGTTGGCACAAACAGTCATTGTAACTACCGTTAAGTAGATTTTATTACCTACAAAATGCCTTTAGTATAATAGCATGGAGTATCAATTTAAACTTGTACAAATAGAAAAATTTACAAATGAATAACCACATTATTTGTATCTTTGATGCCATTAAAAAAAAATACCCGTGGAGCGGTGTATCAACAAAACAATTTGTAATTTTACCACCATGAGGGTTATTTTAAAATTTTTGTTGACGGAATAAACCGTGAATTGAGCCGTTTGCACTCCGTTATTCTTATCGTATTTTTGTCTTTGTTCATCGTACATTCGCAACCCGAAATTAATTCAATTTATTTAACCCATAACCTAAAATCGATACACCGTGTTTCTATCGTGTCGGAGGCTTTATTGTAACGTTCTCATGTACGATATTCTTATTTGTCAGGTGCTTTTAAATATTATACTGTTTTAGTGTAACCAGTTTTATATTAAAATTTAAAAGTGTGTAAGAGGTTAGAGTACCTAAGTATAATTATTATGACGAAGAACGACGAAAACAAGAAATACATTGCTTGTAGGGAAATCTCGGAATCCTTATTTTATACTAAATCCAATTATAAGCATAGGCTTTGATCCACATTATCATGCATATGAGATTGAAAATTCTAAAATAATAGATATTTCAAATTATATTGGATTTTATATTAATGAGTTGCCTGATTCGACACCAACTAAGGCTAGAGTTCTAGAGAATGGAAAAATGTGTGCCACTCTAAAATATGCGTTGTAAGTTGTAAACATTATTTTTATAGTTCATATTTATTGATTCAACTATACTAATGTAAATTAAGATATACATATTTATTGTTTTAATAAGATTAGTTACAAGTGTTTGTGATATTATCATTTTAATATATTTATTTAATTTCTAAATGTATTCTTGTATTACAGTTTTAACTTATTTCTAAACTAGATATATATTATGAAGTATTCAAGTATCTATGGTACATATTTTAATAACTACAACTTTCAACATACTAATATTTGCTTAATTACTGATGTACCTATTTAGGTACCTACCTACCTATACTTTTTTTAATTGTTTAATAATATTGTTCATTAATAAATTATTTTATTATTCCATTCACAAATTTAACATTAAATGAAGGATAATTTTAAAACTTGCTATTGTCAAAATGACATTCATTACGGTTGTTAAGATACATATATGATAAATTAATTCAATTTCAGTGATAACCCTGATAACTACTGACAATATTATTACAATGCGAGCGATATAGTTAAATCGCATAATTTAAAGGTTAAATTAACACCAAGTAAGTTATTATACACTGATAAGACGAGTTTAGAGTGATGGTAACTTTGAGAATTGTAAAAGCTAAAACAATGCTCAATGATGACAAATTAACTGAGTTATAGTAACATGACATAGAGTTAAAACAACCCCGATAAAAGTTATTAATTTCTTAAATTGTTTGTATGCATTACGAATTTAACTCACATTAATGTAAATTCAGCTCCATGACATCCCTAGCTCTAAATCAACGTTCAAAATTGATGCAATTGACACTCGTTGTTAAAACCACTCGAAATTTCTATGCGTGTACATATTTTAAGTAGGGAAATATAAAATTACTTTCTCCCATCATCGCACCGGCTATCCCCATCGCTGCGTTGTACAGATACCCGTATTTTCTAAATTCCATTAAAATGAAAATTTATAAATGACGGGAGGGACGGAGATTAAAACAAAAATAAAATGTACTCACTGTGAACGATCTGTACGTGTTTGACCAAATAATCGCGACGTTGGTATATTTTGGAGCATACCTCGCATTTAAAAACAGCTCCGTCATGCGTCTTCTGATGGCGTGTTAAGCTACTTTTGCTCGCGTACGTTTTATCGAACGAAACGCATTTGAAAGACATTTCAAAAAAATATAAATAAATTCACTGACACAAAACGGTAGCACAGAAGGATACGATCACTGTTGACTTCGGGGTGAAGACTGGACCGTTCAGCGTTACAGAACGACGCGCATAACACATTTATTATATAACCCATGATACCGTTTACCTGGGATTCATCGACATTCCGGGGTCTTGGAAATCATATGATGGTATATATATCTATATATATATATATATACGTGTGTGTATCTAACGCGCACATGTGGTGTTGGTGTTCATTATAATATATATATTTTATATAAAATAATGATCAAATAAAAGATAAATCTGAAAAGACGAGCATTACAGACCGAACGCACATAACACATTTATTATACAACCCATGATACCGTTTACCTGGGATTCATCGACATTCCGGGGTCTTGGAAATCATATGATGGTATATATATATATGTATATCTCCAACACATGTTGCAAGAGGACGCTACACAACCATTTTTGAAGTTTAAAAACATGTTTTGGGAGAAACACTCTCATTTGAGCTACAGTAATCGTACAAAAACCAAACTTTGCCAAGATAAAGATAGTAACATTATCCGTGTTTGTATGTGGGCTTTTTGGGATATCGTTGAAACTCTCGTGTATACACTCTATTGAAATATTAAGTTTTTTTTATAGTTTTTGAAGCTCATAAAATACAATTGAATAGACGTACACTTTAAAGCCCACATACAAACATAGAAAATATTCTCATCTTAACGTTATCGAAATTTGATTACTATACGAATAGTGTAGCCCAAATGAGAATGATTCTCCTGAGACATGTTTTCAAAAAAAAATTATTCTTATTTGTAACCGTACGGTGCTGCTATAGTGGGTACAGCGGTAGCGCGTTCCAACATCATACACCGCGCGCATAAGCAGCATACCGCACCATAGGTCAAAACTGGTTATGGTAAATCGCAACCGCATATGGTCTATAAATAACCAAATAATATACGAAAATAATGCCCATAAATATTTATTTTTTTCGATTTTATAATTCTAATAATAATAATTAATATTTAAATTTTAAAGTATAACTTTTATTCAGTGCTACACAAACTGAAACCGCGGTATCGTAAAGTTATCATAAATCAATTGAATAATGTCAAGATATATACACGATTCATACAATTTTTTTTTTAAATTGTTGTACATTTCGAAATGAAATTAGTGGTTTGGTTTTCAAGATAAACATATTTTAGTTTAAATCAATATAAATTCATAACAAAAAAATATATACATACCATTAAATCGTGTGTTCTAAATAAAATCAACGTCTATTGATAACTTACTATATAACTGTGCAGACTTGCATTTTTCATCAAATAGGTACTAATATTAGCACTTTCTAGACAAAATATAATTTTAGAAATATCTTAGTTTTTTTTATGCTTTTTGCAGAACATTAAATTAAATTATTTATTATTATTCTAAATTGTATGTATACGTATACTATACAATATGGTCTATTCAATAAACATATATAATTATTTATTATTTTTAATAAAAAAGAAAAGAAAACTAAAATGGTTATTTAGTTTGTTAATAAATACCTATATTTTTGAGTATATTTAAACAATTTATTAATAACTAATATTTTGTATTGTATGAGTACCTACAACAAAGCTTTTACAAAAAAATTGCATTATGAAGTTTTAATAATTGTTATTCCTAACTTATTGTTCCTACATTTTGTATTCACTGTAGATTACTAAAAATGATTTGTAAGTCCTAATATTTATTAATCATTATACCGTCCCAAACATAATTTTACTTCAATACAATTTTTAACGATAGCATACTATGTATACTAGTATATTACATATTTTATTATTTATTAATTAAAAAATATACACATTTTATTAGATGCGAGCGTGAATCATACCTTTAAAATTCGTAAATTGAAGGTATAATTGGTATAAAAGTATGAAGTAAAATAGATAGCAGTAGAAAGATAAAATATTATAAATAATTCCATAAAAACAAAAAAAATTATGTGGTAACAGGTACACATACAAGATTATAACGTAAATTATACGTAATAATGCATTTATTAATACGGAAAAAATAGGGAAAGGGAAAATATACAAAGTCGAAATAGCGAAAAAATCGCACAAAAAATTTGGAAGATACCTCACTAATTACAATTTAAAATAAGAATTTATTTTATAAAATATTATATTCTAGACAAAGAAATTTAAAAAAAAATCAAAAAAACATATAATTAAAGTTCGCTGTAATTTTTTTTAATTTTACAGTGAATTTTGACTTTTGTTTTTTTTGAATGAAATACCATTGATTAAATATACACATAAGCGTGCACACGGGGTAGTCAGGGTAGGTACTTGACTATTCTGTGAAACTTCCCACCCTCACCAAAATATTCAATATGATCACAATAATAAATAAACATATTATTTTCAACCACTTCGAAACATTAGTTAACGTTAAAAAAAATGTAAGAATACGGGAGAAATATAGTTTTTAAGTTAAATGAAGTTACGAATGCAAATTTTTTGTTAATATTAAATGATAATGTGTTATGTTTGACTACCCTGCCAGTTATGTCTGCACACGCTTATGAATATACAATATTATATATTATAATATATATTATAATTATTAATTTCTCAGCATATAAAGTAGAGTCCACGTCCAAAGGATATTTTCCAATACCAATTGATTTCACTTTAGGAATCGCATACCCGTTTTTCCATTGAAACTGGGAACACAAATGATGATTTTTTTTCTACATTAAATATAATTTTATATTTACATTAAAATACATTAAAAAACAATAAAATAAATGTGTCTAATATTGTAACAGCAATTAATTAGAACATCGATTTCAAATAATGTATGAATTAATAAATGAAACATTTTTGAGTTGGTCAATTATTATTACTACATCTGCTGCACCAGTTTTGTATGCACCATGCTCATCAATGCTTATAATCAGGGCTCGGAAGTTCTAGCAAATGCATATTTTTCTTGGTTCATCCTAGAACATCCAAAGTAAGAAACAAATATGTTTCTCACTGCTCGGATATCATACACAAAATTTAATTTTGCGATTTTTTTTGCATATTTACAGGTTTTATTGCTATTTTGCTAATTTAGAGTTTATATTGCTATTTTCGGGTATATTTTCACATAATGTAGGAAATAATCAAATTTTGTTGATCATAATTGTATTTACTTGGTTATGTTTTTAAAAATATTTTAATTATTGGAAATAAATAACTTCAACAAATATTATTTTATGTTTTTATTGATGATTTGTTGTATCAATAGTTAGTGAGGTGATTGTTATTCCTTTATTATATCATTGTATTAGGTTATTAAACATATTAATAATCTAGAATAATTATCAAGATAAATATATAAAGTAATTTAATAATAAGTACATTTTTACAAATATATTTAAGTAATTTAACATTTTTGTTAAAATTTTATAATTCAATCAGTCCAGACTGTGTCTAATGAGCCTAACAATTTGTAAAATTAAATTTTTTTCAA